GAGAGAGAGAGAGAGAGAGAGAGAGAGAGAGAGAGTGAGGTCCGCGTTAATACGGTGGACGGCGCACGCTCCTGCGCTCTCGCAGCGCCGCCGTGGTGGGGCGAAGCGCAGCCGCCGCCGCCGTGGTGGGGGGCACGTGTCACCTGTCGCGACGTCAGTGTGACGGCGACCGTCGGCGGTGCGGCTCGTCGACACGCGTGCGCGACTGTTTGCACAGCTGATCCGTGGTAACGTGGTGAGAGGAAACGCGCGCATCGTCATCTCGCCATCGTCGTGAATCGCCGCCCGCTCACTCGCGCGTGGACGCTGAGACGCGTGAGCGCGAGTGGCGTCCAGCCTCCTCTCCACCTTTTGCAAACCCCGTCGTCGCCGTGTGTCGGCGCGCGCGTGCCTAACGCGCGCCGCTCGTTCCTCGGACCGTGAATGTGCCGTCGCCTGGCCGCCGCGAGGCCGATCGTCCTCGGGAGAATATGCGTGCGGCCGGCCGCCGGTGGACGACGACGGATCCAGTTAGGAGCGCCAGCACGACGGGCCAAGACGACGAGGTCGCGCTGCACGTGACTGCGGCAGTCGCGCAGCTTCCGGCGCAGTGAGTGAATTGAGGAGAAGAGAGATCAGCGCGTACGTTTTCCGTTCGTTCCGTGGCTTCGGGAGGGTAGAATAGGTTATTACGCGCGCGCCACGGTGTTGCGTGGGCGTTGTCGTTGTTATTGTTGTCATCGTCGTTATTGTCGACGAAGGTGCTCCATCGTGCGCGCGGAGTCCAGTGTGACGCGGTGATACACGGTGTGTTGTATTTTCTACGCGGCTTACCACTCGTGTCCGCGTTCTTCGCGTGTGCCGTCGAGGAGTCGTCCCGGCTCCTCCTCCTCGTCGCCGTTGTCGTCGTAGTAGTCGTCGTTCCCTCGCGGCTCCGCAAGACTGCGAATCCTGGCACGTACCGAGCGTCGCTGTGACACCGCTGCGAGGAGAAGATGAGGCGTGCGAGCCACCGCGTTGCCTCCGGGATGCACCCGTTGCTGTCCTGCTGGTGCGTCGTCGCGATCGTCACCTTCGCCTTGGCGGCATGGCAGGAGAACGTCAGGCCGAAGATGTACGTCCAGCTAGGTGAGTGATACTTTTGATTCTTTGTGATACAGTGCGTGTGTGTGACAGTGGTGTGTGATGCTTGTGTGAGTTTTTCGATCTTGTTTCTTTATCTTGGATTCCCCAGTGATATGAATAAGTGTGATATAAGCAATCTTTGGATCTTTGTTGGCTCGTGCATAACGAGCCTCTTCTCGTTATTGAGCTTGCTCCATGATGAGTTTTAGACGAGGGTGACGATGCACCCTCCGATGACACTCGCGCGATAAACTGTTCTCAACACCGTGCCAAGTCTTAATCGGATTATTAACGGCGAAAATGAATGTGCCGAGGAGTCGTCAGGAAATTCAGGCAAAAGTGTCAATGCCCGAACATATATCCGATTCTGGACATTTTTATCGCCTTGGTGTTTAAATATGAATATTTGAACTTTCAACGTAGAATGCATGTGCAGAACGAGTGAATAATTATCGCCACTTTGAGATTTTCGAAGCGATTCTGCTCAGAAAAAGAGCTCCTTAAGGTGGTTACGCTCTTTTTCTAGGAGAAGTAGCTTTGAAGATCTTCCATGTGCTCTTTCCTTTCTGTTTTTTATTCTTTATCTTTTTCTAGTTTCAAAGAAACTTAATCTACATTATTTTTCTTGCTTCTTGTTATGTTCTTTTTTTTAGTTTAAGGCTTAAGGTTTGAGTCAAGCAAGCAAATAACACATTTGTAGATCAAGCTTTAAGATTGAAGGAGATTAAGAGAAAGAAACAGGAAGCAAGGAGTACATTGTAGATCAGGCTTTAAGATCACTTTTGTTTTTCGCTTCAAAGATATTCAAGGTCTTGCTAATTTTCATTGACTCGTGCTATGTATTCGATATATGTATGTATGTATTCTATGTTGAAGGCATTTAAATATTGAAATCTACTTAAACACCAACACAACAGAATGTCCCGAGTTAGATATGTGTCCAGACATTGGCTGCGTTCAGCAGAGAAAGCTGCTTTGCAACTGTTGTAAAATTCGTGAATCTGATTGGTACATACTCTTGGATTCAATCAAAATTAAGAGCATACTCCAATCAGATTCACGAATTTTACAACAGTTGCAAAGCAACTTTCTCTGCTGAACGCAGCCATTGT